TGTGAATAGTAGCTACCCCTCTTTGGGCTGATTATAGGTGTCATTCACTTAATTTGCATTTCTTTGTACTTAAAATATTTTTTTATAAGGGGTATGTACTTTTTAATCATTATAAGAAAAAAATGTAGTGTCTTTCAGGATTGGAGAGCTTGGTAGTCAAAACTGAAGTAATCAAGAGAAACTTAGAAATTAGGTTATCACAAGTGGGTCAAAAATCTATTCAGAAAAATCAGGCAAACAATTGCATTTAGGTTCCATGGATAAAGGAGAGATGGTTAAGGAAAGCTGGTCTATCTAGGGCTGTGCTTTCCTATATGGTAACCAGTAGTAACATATGACTATTCATTTAAATTTAAACTTAAATTTACCAGATCAAATTAAATAAGGAATTAGTTCCTGAACTATACTGGCTACATTGAAAGTACTAATTTCTATATGTAGCTCGTCATATATTGACAGTAGAGTTATAGAACTTTTCCATCATCACAGAAAATATAGAAACTAGGATCCTGCAGAGAAGGTATTAACAAACAAGAATCCAAGAGAGAGAAGAACAAAAACTTTGGTAATGAGGCTGAACAACATGAATCCATATTGTGAGTTTAGGTTATTGAACAAAGTGGCACAGCTGGAAGAATTGGCTCTTTTGTCAAAGGGCTGCGGAAGCCATACCAAAAAATTATTTAAGATGAGTTACACAGCTCAAACTGTTATCTGTGTTAAATTATTTACTCTTTCCCCTTATGTGATAAATGGTTTCAGGGAGGAGGGGGCCTGTTGTAAAGATTTCAAGGGGCAAGAGTGAGATAACGTAGCCTATGAAGGGTTATTACTAGATTGTATGGGCAGTGGCTGGAATATTGAATGTGTGCCCTCTGTACTTTTATTTCACTTCCTTCCATACTGTTTAAGATATAAAAGTAGCATCTTGATAATAATGCTCTCACTCCTACAGGACTTAGGTATATTTTGGCATCTCTTTTTACATAGAAATAGAGTGAAAAGCAGGCAACTGGGTGATTCAAACCGAGCAAAAAAAAAAAAAAAAAAAAAAAAAAGAGTACAATCCCTAATCTTAAATTTTATTGTGTTAAATTGTTTTGTATTCTTTAAGCAAATATGACTCAAATTATAGATACAATGTGAGCTGGAAACAATCAAAACATGTATATGGATACTATCCCAAATACGGGGAATGATGCTAATACGCTTGCAGCATAGAGCCATTTTGGTTAGACGATTATAATAGCAACTTACTAGTACTTTGGGTGAAATGGTAAGCTAATGATGTAGCCGTTAATTTGAATTTAGCAGACATTTTAAATATAGGTTTCTTTTACAGAGACAAAAGTTGCAATTTAAAGCTCTTTGGTGGTCTAAAAACAGCTTAATTCTGTAGTAGCATGGTAATAAGTACTAATCCAGCTTATACAGTGATTGTAGTATGTCATGTTTGTGAAAGATTGTCCAACTGCTTTCTCAGGGTTTTATGTTAATTTAAAAATATTAAACATAAAACCTTATAACATCTTCATGCTGAGATAAACTGTTCAATTTAACTTGCGCTCAAGCAGCAGCTGTCAGGAATTATCTTGTTCCTAGTGGTTTTTGCTATCACCTTGTGCCCTTTCCTGCCAGAGACACACTGTGGGATGATAAAGCACACCTTGTTAGGATTTATTGCTTAAATAACACCTGAGGCAGGGTGAACATTGGTAGCCTAGGGATTAGCTGCTGATTGACTGATGCCATTCATTGTGTAATTATCAACTTTTAAAAAGTGATGGTAGAGGGAAAAGTAAAAATTGCTTATGCTTGCATTTCTTTTGTGGGCACCTTCATCATTTCTTTGGGGTGTCAAACTAGAGATTTAAGGAATTGCTTGTGGTCCAGTTTAAGCAACATTTTACAAATAATAAAGTCAAGATTAGTACTTCAGTAATGATAGAGATATAAATGAGTACTGTTTCAAGATGTATCATAAAATTACAGTTGATTTTCTTTTAATGATTAAACTGAAGGAAGTGTTTAAGTGGGCAGTCTCAAATGGTTAATGTTATGAAAATCGTCATCATTTCTCTTCTGTAGTGCATTCCCTTATTTGGGAAGTTTTCTTTGGAAGGTTTCGTTCTTTTTATGCATCAGCATGGAGAGTGGGCATATAGAAAAAGTGGAGTGAAGGACTTGCGTTGGCTCAACATTTGCTACTGATAGTCCACTCTGAAGAAAATCTTGACCTACGAATTGATGACTGGATATGTCAAGAAACGTATGATGCGCTAATTTTTTTATGGAATGTAGAATTTTTTTTTCTTCTACTTAAGTACTGTTCAGTTCACATTCCCACCAAGTCCATAGTTTTCTAAAGGTCTAACTCACCAAAAATTTGCAATAGGACAATGGATTGCATATACGGAATTTCATTCAGATCGGTCAATTGCTAAAATACATTTGGCATTTCTCTTTGTAGTTGTATACACATGAATATTTATTAGCAGTAGTAGCATTTTTACTAAGTATTTTAAGAGCTAGTTGCAGACATCATGACACTTCACATGTAAATAATTTGACATGAATATTCTAAGATGACTGCAATAAAAGTATTATATTTAAGAAACTCGAGATTGATAAAAATCTTACTTTCAGCCTATATTCACATTTTCCTTGTTGCTCTGATAATGGCTTTCATTTCTGTTTTTATCCTATTCCAGTATTCCGCTCAATGATCAAACACTGGAATGTGTTTTGGAGACTCTTTATTTTCCTTTAAGTTAGATTTTTTTCTTTTATGACATTGATATTTTTGGTTATCCAGCTCAATTATTCTTTAAGCTATTTGAACATTTCCTCATTGCCAAATTCAGATCAGGCATTTGCAGCAGAAATATTACATTGATGATTTTTATCTATCTCAGTGCATCATATTTGGGAATACATGATTCCACTTTATCCAATTATTGATCATATTGTTTGATTATTTGGTTAAGTTGGTATCTACCCGATTACTTCATTATAAGAGGTACCTTTTTTTTCCTTTGTAATTAATGTCAGATAGGGGCTGTATTTAATTCATTTTTCTGCTTTGAGTGTGAAAAACATTGAGCTTGCTCAGGACTTAATGATTAAAAATGGGAATCATTGCTTACAGTGGTGTAGGTAGTGAGGAGGGGCAGGGAGAATAGGAGTAAAGGAAGATGACTCAATAACTAGACCCACAAGATGCCATGCATTCCCCTTTAAGGAAAGTATTGTTTGATTGAAATTAGGATTTTGTGGTTTTCCTCACTAAGGATCAGAGTTGTAAATAATTAAATATCTTCATATTTCAGAATTTTCAGTGTAAGTTTTAGAAAGGCTTATACTTTGATGGTGGTGATGGGGATATCTTTGAACAAAATAGGGCATTTTGTGACCATGATTTTACTTCTTGCTTTAGTTGTATATAGATGAACAGTTTAAAAACTAAATGCACCTCCTTGGTAATAACTTTATTTTTGTTTAACTTTAAAGAAATAAACCCTAACATTATTGGAGCAATGTGGTTTAAAGAGGGATTGTTAGCTTTTGGTCTTATGTGCTTCTTGTGTGCCATGAAGAAGGCACTTGAATTCCTATTTATGATACATGCACTCATTATGTCATCATTCTTCTTGTGTGAAAGGTTAGTGCTGCAGATCACATAAACACCTGAAGTTAGCCATTTGGCTTGTCAGCAAGGGAGGATTTATAGTAGTTGTAATCATGGTAATAACAAGGATGATATTTTGTATTTATTAAGTACAGAAAAAAGCATTTGCAATGTAAGTGGTCCACAACCAATTCAGAGCAGTGTGTAATAAAAAGCACTTCAGGCTTAGAAGACCAGCAGTCTCTGCTTTGCCACTTCCTATCAGGGTGATCCTAGGGGGTGGAAAAAAAAAAAAACCCTTAACCTTCCTGACCATAACTTTTTTGGAATGGGAATTCAAGCTCTATGGGTCAAATATGTTATATTATATTCTAAAGGTGGCATTCTGTTAAAATTGTGCCATCTGAATGTTCTCAGCTGCTCAGGGATGGTTTTCTTTTCCTTTTTTGTGTCCATTTGTGGTAGGCATTGCATTAGGGAAGCATTCCTAGCTTGTCCCAGATGATTAGTACTCCTTTCTGTTTGTTCCTCTGATACTTTGTGTATGTCAGTATTCATCCTGCTAAGCTTCCCCCCCCCATCTTTTCTGTTCTTCCTGTTTTGACCATGTCACCTACTAGACATTTAAGTAAATGCTTGTGAAATGAGAGAATGAATACATACTTGTTTTTATTTAAAAACATGCATAGAGGTATGCTTTCAGTTTCATTTTATCCAAAGACAAAGAATCAACCTTCCTTCACCTCTTATCTGTGCTTTATATAAGGGATTTTTAGATTGTATATCTGGTGCCATTAGCAGTCTAGTAATGGAGAAGGAAAAAAAATAAATATAAGAATTATGGGATACTCTAAAAGGAGGGCAAGAAAAAATGCCAAGAGAAAAAGACCATACTAGATAAGTCTACTGCATAAATCAAAAGGGTTTATGTCAAAACATGAACATGTGCCATTCCTACTTATATATTGAATTTCAGTAGTTGGTTGCATAAAGAAGTAAAGTGTAATGAAACTGGCAAGCAAAGTGTTCCCCAGTCAGCCTTATCTTTGTTCCATTTGTCCTTCAGATAGAGCTTTTCTTGCCTTTTTCAATAAAATCCATCCAGTTTTTTTTTTTTCTTCTTTTTTTTTGCATCTCTCAGTAACTGAGCTGAGTAGACCAATGAGATTCAGGGCTTTTATAGTTCTTAGCAGCTGCTTTTTAAGAGATCAAACTTAGAATGCTGCTACATGGTATTAGGGCTCAACTATTGATGTGTCCCTAGAGGGGATATGTTTTGCTTGGGATGGGAAGTGGAAAGAGGAGAAAAGGGCAAAAGATGACCTCTTCAAGCATGCTTGGGACAGTAAACCCTAATTTCTTTGTTTCCTAGGATCCTCTTTGCAAGCTCAGTACTTAACCTGACGGAACTGACTGCCCTTCGGCCTGACCTTGGGAAATTGAAAAAGATTCTGTACTTCCATGAGAACCAATTGGTATATCCTGTCAAGAAATGTCAAGAGAGGGATTTTCAATATGGTTACAACCAAATTATTTCATGGTGGGTATAGGTTGCATCATATTTACCCCTTTGCCATATTTTTCTTTATAGATGGTTAGCTTTTAAATATGGAGACCTACTGTATACTTATAAACACCTTTAGGGAGGTGTAAATGTTTGAATATTACTTTAATGGTACCAACTGCTTGTACTTCTCTAGTATATATAAGATCACAGCTACTCCTTTTATAAAATACATAAATGTAATGATCTAATTATATGTTGAACTAATTATCTAACTGTATTTTTCACAACATTTAAGATAGAATCAAAAGATTGACAGAGACCTTCACCACTTGATCCCATGATTTATTGTTTAAAACATACTCTTAGAAAGGTCAGTTTGTGAACTCACATTTACCCACTAATTTCACTATATTCAACAACAATCAAAAAGGAATTTACAGAGAAATAAAAAAATTAAAATGTAATAGATTGAGAAATGTTGCCTTCCCTATATTTTTGGTTGTTTTAAGGCAGAAAACTATGGAAAATGAATCTTTCTCTGTGTGTGTTTTCCCCCCACATTGAGTCTTCTGAAATGACACAGTCTTAAAATACCATGACATTTCAAAGGTGAGGGTCGTTTTCTATTGTTACTTCAACAAAGTATATCTGCTGATGGTTAGTTAATGAAATAAGTTAATAACAACTCCAGAAAATGGGGCTGCTGTTGTATCTTATTCAAGTAACCACATGCATCAAATGGACTTGGTGGCAGGAATTGGATACATTTTGCTCACTTTTTTTTTTTTTTAACAATTATTAGCATTTTGGATTGATGATGTGTTTCAGCAGACCTTCAACTCTTGCAAGTGTGTTCCATTGTGTAGTTGACATAGAAAACAACTATATGGTAATAATTCTGTGTTTTGAGCATTTTGTAAATGTTTTCCTGCAATCATTTTTACAGGCTGCTTCAATTGTGAAGTAGCAGTGCTATCAAAATAGAGTGGAACTGTTTCACGTCAAATGTCTCATAAAAAAGCAACTGTTTTAAAATTTCATAATAAAATTAAAATACTTTATTTTATATTGAAACAAAGGAAAATATGTTTGAAAAATGAAAATAAAATCATTTTGTGCTTTATCAATATGGAAAACATTTGTAATATTCCTATGATTTCTTGAATTAGCATCATTCTTTTCTTCAGATAGTGTGTGTTTATTACCCCTGAGAAAACACTGGGAAAAAAAAATTAAGTCTATTTTTCCTTTTATGGGTGGCTTTAAAGTTAATGGAAGTTATACCCATTCATATCAGGAAGCAAATGCACCAAAAATAATATTTCTGTAAAGAGTTTTGTGTCTTTCACTTAGCACAGACTAGATTTTTAAGAATGTAAGTGGTTGGGTTTTAGCTATCTGCCCTTTGAGAACAGATATCTAAAACAAATTTTACCTCACTCCCCTCCCTTCCTTTATAAGAAATTGGTTTTACTCACAGGGAATGAGTCTGTAAAAGCTTGCACACATTTTTTCAGCATTTCTCTTCTTAAGAGGGTAAACTGATAGACAAGCTTGGTAAGAAAGAAGTGAACTTCATCATCATTTGGCTTCTTAATGGGAAAAAAATGGCTCACAGTTGTCCAGAGGAAAAATAAGAGTGTCAAAGAACAGTCTTGTTCTGATTCTCTTCAAAAAGTATGACTCCTGCTTTCTCAAATGTTTCTTTAGTTTTCTTGCTGACTTCTGCTTTTGTTGGCACTGTCAGATTTCTTCCTTGACTGTGTGGCAGTTAAGGATTTTAAAGATGACTGACATAAGCACTCACCTTAAACAGAGGTTTCACTAACCCTCTGACTTATGAACACATGTCGTAACTGTATATTATGACCTGTGGGTCGCTATTACAATATGTGACATATGGTGAAAACAGGCTAGCTGTAAAACATCCTTCAACTTTTGGGATATTATTATATTGGTTTCCTTATTGCTTAGTGTCATGTCAGCACTTCTATACTTTCCTTTGTTTTATCCATGTTACAGACATTACTGTTCCCCCAGATTTGTACCGGGTAAGAACTTTAAAACAAACAAAAACCAAAAAACTTGTATGCAAAAGGAATTTTGGAGGAAAGTTGTAGCAAATTATATTCCATGCATGTATGATTTTTGTAAAGATAAGATTTTGCTCATTGATTTTTTTCATTCTACTGTGTATTAATAATAGTAAATCTGGCTGTCCCAGGAAGTATGGTATAAATGAAATTGAGGATTTGGTAAGGCATTCCTATCCTATCTATAAGCGCTACTTATTTTATTGTGTTTTACAGTCCTATGGACTTTAATGCTTTCAGTGTTATTGATCTGTCATTTTCAGGGTGAAATAAAATTGCTGTATCTGTTTATCTGTATCCTTTTTTGGAAGTGTTTGTACACATTTCATTGAGATCCAGTGACACTGAATCATTGGTTAAATGATAAGAAGTCATTTTCAAAAATCCAAACAGTGATTTATTAAATCAATTTGATTCATAAAAAGATCATACTATACATTCAGGTTCTATCCAGCTCATCCATGATTCTCAATTGTGTTCACTTGTGTCCAAGAAAATATTACAAGCAATCTGAAAACTGCTGACATGTTTATATCACATAAAGTTTGCTTTCATGTTTTCCTCTTCAGTTTTTTTAGCTTTTCCTTTTTAATATTTTTTATTAGTACATTATAGTTATACATAATAATGGGGTTTATTCTTTTAAAAAAATCGTACATGCATGGAATATAATTTGCTACATTTCAGTCCCAAGTACTTCCTCTTTCCTTCTCCTCCTACCTCCCCCTCACATTTTCTTATAAAAATATTTTAATGTTATTTTTGTAAAATATTGAGGAGCACAGTGTTATTTGTCAAAAGCAATAATCAGTAGTATATTTGTTTTGTTTAATTCTAAATGTTGTGGTATTGTGTTCATTGTATATATAATGAGTAGGACAAATGATATGGATTTCTAGATCCATTTCTCCTAATTTGTCTACTTCTCTGATGACCCCAAATATAATAAAGAGAAATAAGTTGATTTGTAGAGATACTATTGCTCTTCCCATGTAATTTCAGAACTTTAAGAAACATAACAGTTTTTCTTTTTTTTTTTTTTTTTTTTTTGCTATTGAGGATTGAACTCAGGGGCACTCAAACCAATGAGTCCATCCCCAGCCCTGTTTTGTACTTTCTTTAGAGATAGGGTCTTACTGAGTTGCTTAGTGCCTCGCTTTGGCTGGAGGCTGGCTTTGAACTCATGGTACTCCTGCTACAGCCTCCAGAGCCACTGGGATTACAGGCATGTGCCAGAAAAACATAACACAGCTTATTGAAGCAAAACCTAAAGCAGAGAATACACTTACAGACTTTGACCAAAATGTTTTGAAAATACCACGGCCTAGCTTGAATGAAGGTGGCAAGAAGTCCAGCAAACATTCCCTCCTTAATATTACAGTAAAAAACAAAGTATATCACTGACAGAGAAACTCAGTCTTGGCAGATGGGCTACAATTAAAATTTTTTTTTTCTAAATTAAATATTGTTGGTAATGTGGAAAGTTCCTGGCATTATGGGGAAGCATGTTTTGGTTTGAAGTCCCATGTGATCCCACTGAATCATTAAATTTGCCTGTTGTCTTTCCTCCCTGTTGCCACCAATCCAACTTCCCATGATACAACACTAATGAAACTCACTTATCTATTAATAGAGACATTTTGAGAGATACTGATGGGAAGTGAAGTGCTCTTTGGAATCCTGAAGTACAATGTAAACTATAATTAATACACAGAGGTTTTAGGCTTATAAAAATTTCTCTGAATTAATCTGAGTTTATCATTTGCATTTATTTATTTTTTTCCTTTAAAGCTTGGTGGCTGATGTGGTGGTATTCAACTCAGTTTTTAATATGGAGTCATTTCTCACTTCCATTGGAAAATTTATGAAGCTGATTCCTGATCACAGACCCAAGGATCTGGAAAGCATCATCAGACCCAAGTGCCAAGTTATTTACTTTCCCATCAGATTTCCTGATGTGAGCAGGTCAGTGTGTTTGACTCTGTTCTCAATATTGTATCATAAATTACTTCTCAAATGTATAGAAATCAGTGTTTTTTTCCTGCCAATTTAAACATATTGGCATAAGCATGGTTAATAGAGAGATGAGTTCTTTCTCACCGTACTGTACTTTATTAAGATTTTCAATACGTGTATGTCCATTGGATCACTGGGTGGTTAGTTCAGACGTTGAATTCTTCCTTTTTTTACTGTTATTTATTTCCCAAAGTAGGTTGCTTTGGCTTTTAAAACTTACTGTCAATTTTCTTTGTTTGTTATTTATTAAAAAAGTCATTGTCAAGCATATTTGTCAACTTTTACATCCAGCCTTAGAGCCACTGGTTTAAATGCATAATAATAACTCTTTAAAAAAGTAATGTTAAAACCTCATTTTCTGGATGACTTTTCAGTTTCACTGCTATTTTCCTCTAATCTTTTTCTTTCTTCATTTTTATTATTTATATTATCTTTATAATGAGTTAAGCCTTCCATATTGGGTTGCCAATATACTTAATTGCCATTTCTCTTTCTCATTTGCTAAGGACATTTTTTATTACCCTTGTTACTGGGCCCACCCTGAATTAGCAATGGATGATGTGGCTCTAAAGGAACATTCTGGAATCCCTTTTCACTTTCGATTAAAACTTAGCAAAACTATTTTTACTACTATCAGGAATATTTGTCCTATGTGAATACAAAGTTTTTTTTTTTTTCTTCAGTGGGACTCACGCTAGCTGGGTATGCTGCTGTTTTGTAATTGCATCCTTAGAAGAAGTTTGGGGACAGCTGTTTCTACCCCATCTTTGCAATGAAGGCCAGAGATGATTTAATGTCCTTAGGTGCTGTGCAGAAGGTCAGCATTAGTCTCTGTGTTCTAGATTTACTGAGTTCACCCAGATTTTGCTGTAGGGTCAGTAGTCCTCATCTGCACCCCTAATGATGATTTATGTGAGTGTCTTACTAGTTAGTATTTCATCTACAAAAAAATCTCCCCATACCAAATCAAGTTAATGAGTCATAAAATTCAAGTTAGACCACCTTGCCCAATCCTTACTTTGTGCATAGTAGAAAACAGAAGTCCAGAGAAGTAGAGACTGTCTTGCAATCACCCTGTCATTGTCACAGACTGGATTAAGTTTAGCTTCCATAACTTTTGATTCTAATTTCTGTTAAAGCTTCCTGTCATTATAGGTCATTTATTAATAACATTTCATGATTTATTTGCCTTTTTGAAAACTATAAAGCTAAATGCAACCATAATGACAATCAGTTTTCAGGTGTGTGTGTGTGTGTGTGTGTGTGTGTAGGCATGTGAATTTTCATATGTGTGTATGTGTATAGTCATATCTTCATATGTGTGAGGGATTTGTTCCAAGAGCTAAATGCCAGGGATATCAAAATCTGCAGATACTCAAGTTCTTATGTAAAGTGGCATAGTATTTATATTAACATATATACATCTCCCCATATACTTTAAACCATCTCTAAATTCCTTGTGATACTTAATACAATATAAGGGCTGGGCAGATAATGATTATATGACATTAGTCAAACAATTACAGCTAGAAAAATGTCTGTGTATGCTCAGTACAGACATATTGCTTTCTTCCCAAATAATTTGGATCTGCAGTTGGTTGAATCCCTGAATGGGGAACCCATGGATACAGAGGGCTAACTGTATAAGTGTGTGTATATATTTCTGTAGACATAGTTTCTTAGGTGTGATGGGAAAATTTCAATTTTTGAAAACTCTTATTGTTATACTTTACACTTATTATTCACTGGAACACAATTTTGAACCTGAATTTTTAAAATATTGGGTTTGTTTTTAGAAATAAGTTTTTAATTTGTTCAGAGATAACATTGTACATCTGTAAGTGAGTAGGTAGTTATAGCTCATCTTGTTACTGCTATAGGTTTCCTAGTAAATAATGTGTTTTAAAATTCATTTACATCTGATATGTTTCTATAACATAATATGTTTAATACACCTATGGCAATTGAATAGTTTATTAATTTGAACCATATTACCATAAAGGAATCTAGCTAAATAGAAGAAGGTTAAGAAATATTGTGGCCAAGATAACATTCATAAGCAAGGTCTTAGCCCAGAGTGTTATTTGAATTATTTTCAAATGGTAATTTGCTTTATACAACCCAAACTCATATAGTGTAAGTAAGTGATTATTTGCATGAATGACAATCATTCTAATGCCTGCAGTTTTAAAAGCTTATTATTTTGTTGAGATGTTGAAAAATATTTAGCAATTCCAAAGGCAAAATAACCAAGGTGATTAAAAAAAAAAAAGACTTCTGAATGCTTCTCTCTCTCTCTCTCTCTCTCTCTCTGTATGGTCACGGTAAAATGGATTTAAATAAAAATAAAGCAGGGGGCTTAGTGGTAGAGCTCTCACCTAGCACAAGTGGGGTTCTGGGTTTGATTCTCAGCACCACATAAAAATAACATAAAGGTATTGTGTCCAACTACAATTAAAATATTAAAAAATAAAGCATAAGATGGAGTTAGATTATTAATATAACATCCTATATGTAATATAATAGATATTAATCAAAGAAGAGGAAAGAGCTACTTTCCCAGCAAAAATAGTGAGGATTGAATCAGTTGATGTGTGTTGAAACTCAGAGCATGTCAGTCACTGAGGCACTCAGTATTATTGGGCTTGTGATACCTTCTGTTATCTATTGCTCTACTAACCCATCTCCTGCCTTACTTCTAAAGTCTAGAAAAATGATAACAAGAGAGATTATTCTCTCAACAGCATTCCATTATCCATATTAAACATTTGGGGATTGGAAAGCTGTTAAATACTGTTGTCACATGTACATCTATTTCAGTCTTAACTCCCACTTTCTAACTCTGTGATTTTTGCCAGACTCAGAGTAACCCAGAACCTAGGTTCTTTAATAGTCATAATTACGTTTACCTTGTCACTTCATAGGGATGCTTTAGAGAATAAATGAAATGATGTTTGCCAAATGTCTAGGATAGTGCCTGGTATGAAACAGACCCCCAGTAAAATATTATTTTGTTTTATTAACTTCCTTACCCCCACTAATGTGTAATTTGGCACATCTGTTGTCTTCTGCATTTAGTGAGTTATTCCCATTCAACCTCCAGACTTCTGTAATGCACACAAGAAAATAGAGTACTACTCTGCCAAAAGGTCAGTCTAATACAAATAGAAAGGTTGGTTTATTTGTTTTCTTGTCACCTCAACTGAAATATTCTTTGACCTTACAAGAATGTACCATCCATCGATTAAGTGAACTTTTTACTTTCATTTTGTTCTTATTTCTTCCTTATTTATCCAGCTTAACTTCCAAATTCCTTTATCATATTTATTGTCTTGCATATGATCTCAAATCTTTTACATCATTGCTTCACTTCTCTCCCCAGGTCTGATTAAATCCATTTCTTCACTTACTTTCTACCTGCACTCATCGAACTAAAGATGACTGGAAACACACAAACAAACATAAAAACATCTATTTGTACTTTTTAATGTGCTCTGAATTTGTACTCCTAATTCCACACAGATCCTTTGGGCTACCTGCACTCATACCACACTTCCACATGTTTAGGTGGTAAATCATTCCTTCTCCTTTTTTTTTTCTTTCCTTTCCTTTTTCTCTCCTTTTCTTTTAGAAATCTCCAAGTCTTCTCTGTTCATTCTCAGTTGATGTTTGAGACAATAGAAGCAGTCAGAAAGAAACTTCTGTATAGTGACACAGGTCTGCCCAGTTGTGTACTTCTGGGTGCAGATTCTCCCTCTTCACACCTGTTGCTATGGATGAATTGCCCTTGGTTCAAGCTAAGGACGCATCTCCACTTCTTTGAGAGAACCCATCTTTCGCACGTACTCATGGCCTATTGTTTCATGAATTTTTCGTTCTATGTTCTTCATTAATAATTTTCTCTTTTTTGAATCATTACTGTTTTCTTTTTCCTGGTTTGTTCCTATTAGTATACAAAAAACTCTACTATTTCTCATATCTTAAAAAAAATCTCTCTTTAAGGAAAAAAAAAGAAAAAAAAAAGAAGCATCTCTCGTGATTACATTTCTCCCTTTTGCTAATGCTTCATTTCTCTACTTCTTTTGGTAGCAAAACTCACCAAAATTGTTGTTTATACTTATTGTTATTACTTATCCAATTTCATTTACACTCTATTCTGTCAGAGCTGTTAACACTGACTTTTTGTCAGGGTCATCAATGAGCTCCATACTTGTAAATCCTTTGGTCAATCCTTAGTACCCATCCTTCTTAATTTACCAGCAGCATCTGACACACTATGGCACATTCTTTAGGTGGCTTCACATGGGCAGCTCCTTCTCAGGCTCCTTGGCTAATTACTCCTCATCATCCTTACTTTTTAACATGGGCTGCCTTTGGCACTCACTCTGTCTGCTTAAGGAGTTGTTGGAGGAAAAGCCCAAGATTGAAATGAGAAGAAAAGATTCATAAAGTCAACAATGAGATGATTATTCTGTGCAACAAAAGGAAGACAGTGTAAAGAGATGATTAGAAGTAAATTCAGAGCATTGAGATTAAGTGAGGTGATGTTTGAAAGTGTCCTTGAATTCAACAATTTAAGAGTCAATGGTACCCTCCACCTCCTGAGTTCTTTTAACTCACAAAAACATTACATGTATATTTCTCCTTTTTTTAACCTGGTAGCCAGAGAAATATAGGTCTAGTTGTGATATCTATTTATCTCTGTGTGTCTGTCTGTCTCTCACACAAAAACATATACACACATGGACATACATACAAATAGTTCCTCATTTTATGAATGAAGGGACCAGTGTGGCCCAGAGAAGCTATATGTCTCCTTACAATCACACAGCTAAATACAGGCAAAGCAGGAACTAGAACTCATATCTCAAAATCTCCATCCATTGCTCAGCCCACCACTGATTGTTAATGCAATTTTCAGAGGTCTTGATTATCTGATGTTTTAGCTG